AAAATCGCGGTGCGGCAATTGGAGGCATCGTTCGGATGGAGTCTTCTTCAGCTTCAGGGTGGATTGCGACCCTCATGCGGCTCATTCGTGCTATGGCGGAGAACGACAGTTCTTCTTTCTCCTGGCGCGTTTCTTGCATGCAGCTTCCTCAGTTTTATTGCTGTTGAATTCGTTCTTCCGATTTTAGTATTTTGACGTAGCTGAGACTTAAATATGATCAAGCGGCATCATTCGTCTCCTGAAATCCAAGGAATCGTACAGTGTTTGTTATGGAGACAGATACTCGTATCTGCGTGGACTATTTCACAATGCTCCGAGTAAGCATTAATGGAAGGCAGAAGGGAACCACTCATTTATCACGTGACAAACCTTGCAGCAGTTTTACTAAAACGGAAAATTCTAATACTTTAATAATAATTTTAACTTGTGGAATACGATTATTTCATTCAGTAATAAAATGACAAAATCCGAAATTCCTCACCGAAGAGAATTTTTCGGCGCAGAAATATTTATCCAGTGGGCATCGAAGTTTTGGTATGAAACAGTCGATTTCCTCTATGCGTCCAGCGTCTCACACGTTTGCGACCGTTGGCTATAGTATTGTATACGTTTCCACTGAGCTTCGACACGAGAATCCACTGTGACCGCGGGGACGATCGCGAACAGTGACCCATTGCCTACTTGGGCCATTCGCGGCGTCGGGTCTTGCGTCTTGCTCGCATCTGTCTGCATCGGGAACCAATTCGAGCAAAGTGCATCGCTTCCTTTTAGACGGCGAAGAGGAGCACGAGGGAGAGCCAGAGGCACTTCACGGACGACGAGGACGACCATCCGGACGATTTTCCAGCGTTCAAACTGGGCGTCGGGGAGTGCTCGCTTGGCCTTCCCCGAGAAAGAGGAGGTGGGAAGCGACGTCTTTCTCACTCCTGAGGAGAGGGATAGATGCACATCCGATCGACTGCAAGTTCTGCTTTCTCATTTTCCCTTATACTTCATCCTTTCCCATATGACTTGGAAAAAATTTCCTGCGAAAAGTCAAATACTTATATCTAACGTCATCGAACTACATGCTCCTCCAGTGTACCATTTTGCTGAACCGATTCCCCATAATCGTGTCCGCAGCATCACCTGGATTATTCGATGAATATCCCGATTTCCATTTTTTTAATTTCATTTATTTTTCTTGCGTTCAGGTGAGTTTTATGTGCAACGTGCATGATGCGAAGAAAAAAATGTTACATTCTCCAACTTTCCTTAAGAGTAGGTCTCTGGACGCCAAGTGTCATGTCCAGGAACCCTTTTTGGCCCGAGTCAGCGCAGTATGCGCTTGGTTTTCGAAAAAAATTCTTTTTTTTTTCCCCTAAAAGTTCTAGTTCGTACATGTGATTGACAGTGAACGGCCAGGTAGCAGTGGCGGGTCGTGGTTCGTGCTGTAGGGTAGGCCAATGACGTAGCCAGGGAAGGGTGGCTGTCCTGGTTCCCAGCCCCCTTTCCCCTTAGCTTACAAAAGGTTTTTTAGGCCCTCGTGGTATTTCATCGGCTCTCGGAATAATGAGACTCTCGCTACACAAATGGGTGTTCAAGATGCCAAGGAAATAAATATGTGACGGAAACCCGGAAAATTATTTTTTAACGTGCGCACTGAACGAAGCGGAGCGCTCTGGCGGCCAAGTGTAGAGCGCGCCCTAAGCGAATCTAGTTTTCTCGCGACGAGTCGAACGAGTCGAACCTGAGCTGAAAGAGTCGTTCCTTTACGTGTCGTCGGGAGAGCAGTCCTGGCAATCTCCGCTCTGCCACTTCAACATGGTGGGTTTCGTCTGTTGGAGGCTTATTACCGAATTCCTCGTTTTTTTCTCCTTCATCATCACTTCTTATTGCAACTTTCGTTCGTCGGGTAGTGAGCTTCAGGAGTGGGATGTCTATTCCCTTCTTTCCTGCAACTATCATTGCTCTCAATTACTTCTTAAATATTAATTTACAGTTTATTAAAGGTGTCTGTCATGCTCTTATTCATTTTTTAAATGAATTAGCTTCCCGATTGGCACGAACAAAGAATTTTAATTCCATCAACTGCCCATTGGTTCGGCTCCGGACCAATTGTCTCTGCACCTCCCATTTCTCAAGTTTTCGTGCCAGACCTTACGGAAAGCACGAGCTTTTCGCCCGTAGGCACGAACAAAGAATTTTAATTCCATCAACTGCCCATTGGTTCGGCTCCGGACCAATTGTCTCTGCACCTCCCATTTCTCAAGTTTTCGTGCCAGACCTTACGGAAAGCACGAGCTTTTCGCCCGTCTTTTTGAAAAATTTGGAGAAAGGGCGTGAGCCTTCCGTTATCGAAAATGTATTGCCTCTTTTCATCACTCCTTGAAGAAAGACGAAGTTCTAAGTCGGCAAAGATGTCTCCCATTTCTTTTATTTTGAATTTGCGAAGCCTATAATGCGGTACAAATACGACTTTATGACTGCTCCCTCTCATTGCACTTCACTTGATCATCGGTACTATGATAAAAAACGTATGCAAGCCAATGAGTTCTTGCTTGGAATATTTTAGCGTTAAAAATGTTCCCATCTTACTCAGAATAATATTACTCTATCATGTATTGTGACGGTGCTACGGGGTTGTAGGCCGTTGTAGGTGTTCGGGTGGAAATGATGTCAAAAGAGGAAATCGGTAACAATTCGATGAATCCTGTATTTCTATTCCGTACTACAAACGTACATCGGCAACGATGAAGAAACCGTTCCGGTGCCTCCACACTCGACTCTCGGCGGGGCGAAGTGGTCCGGGGCTGGGAAGTTCTCCTTGACGGGCGACGAAGGGGTTCTTGCTCCTCGAAGGGTGTCAGGCGGTGTCCTCTGAGGGAGGGAAAACCTCCGTCTCTTCCACGACGGTGGCGACCACAACCGCGATCCTCCATCGAGCCTAACTGGTCGACCGATATCTTGAGGAGAATACTATCCGCCGTCCGGAGTGGCCTGCGCGCTCCCCTGACGTCAATCCTATTGAATATCCCTGGGATGCTCTGGGACGACGTGTTGGATCCCTCCACACCCAAACCCTCTCGGGGATTCGACGAGCGTTGGAGGAGCAGTGGGTATTGCTGCGCACTGCGCTCCTGAATTGCCTCATGATACTTGATGTGAGGATGTGAGGCGTGCTCCGCTGTCAGGGGTGGCCACACATCATATTGACCCACATAGGACACTCCATTCCGGGCGTCGCTTTGGACCGCCGTGGCATCATCGCTGTGTAATGGATATTGCAACCTTTCGAATCGCAATCGCTTGCGGAGATCGTCCGGCCGACATCCAATAACACATATATGACCAGTTTATCCATGACATTCACACGGTGTTCGTCATATCACGAATTTTCAATGTGTTCCTTAAGTTTTGGAAAACAGTGTATATTAATGCAATATTTTAAAATATATACACAGCCATGCTCGCAGATGTGATTGGCTAGGGTAACGTGACATCAGCTACACGAACCCCATTGCACAAATCACTGTCTGGGGGAAGCCTGGGGGCAGAAGAAAAGTTTTGGAAGTGGGATATCTGAATTAATATAAGACTTACGCGAGCTTTGGTGTTGAGAAAACAGGTGAACGAAACTGAAAAACTAGCTTTGCTGGATTTTAATTTCATCGGAGTGGAAGGAGTAGGGCGGGGAAGGATTTCGGGGAATGCTGCATGGATTTGGCAACGATGGCAACTCAGGCCTCTTCTCTCCGGCCTAAGTCTCATTCCGTACACTTTGCTAGGAGACTGCCCTTTCCCCCTAAACTCCTTCATCCCGCTCCCAGTGAATCGGAGCAGGTTAGGCCAAGAAGAGGCTGGCTCTGACCCTTAGCCCATGGCTTTGCTTGTTTCCAATACATCGCCATATTTACTGACTCACGAGGAAGTGCCCCGAAAATTATTCTGGTTGGAGGCATTACGAAACGTTGTCATATTGACGTTAAGATGAGGTCAAAATTACTTAAATTCACAGTATCTCTCGATGCTCTCTATTTTGTCTGTCCCAGGTTAGGCCCAGCCTAACGTGCCTACCCTGACAAGCCGCCGCTGCCAGGTAGTTATCGCGTGAGTTCCGTAGAGATGAGGCTGAGATTATTTGTACCGCTGTAAAACCTGAATATGATGGAAAGATACCGCCAGTGTAAGTCCTTCAAAGTGATGGAAACTACACGAAAAAGTAGTAGGATTCCTTCTATTTTCCTCGGCACATCCTTTTTCCCTTGCAATATATTTTGCTTCATGTGGGGCCGATACTTTCTAAATAAGAAATTCATTTTTCTCAAAAACTAATGGGAGAATGTTGATAATTTAGGCACGTGGAGAATCCTCCGTTTAAGAAAGTATTCATTCAAAATCTTGAAGTGAACGGAGTTCCGCCGAGACTCCACAGGAGCCATTCTTGGATTAAACTACCACTATACCTGGCGGGAAAGTTGAAATTAGAAACTTTGAAATGTCTTCTTTTCGGATGAGAATAACCTCTTAGGAAAAAGTTAGAAGGAAAAGAAACTACCCCAATGGGTCCCATTCCCCTTGAAACCACCTAGTTATCGCTAGACGGCAAATGAAATCAGATTAATTTAATGTGTTACATGTGTGAATATAAGGAACGCAAATCTGTCAGTCTTGGGAAGAAACGATTTTCGCTGAAAGCATGATTATTACACGGAACGGGTAATTCACTAGAAGGAATAACAAGCTGAGCAGCACGTCTTGGTATTAGGAATGGGAAAGTTTTATGCCAAGTCCAAGATATAAAACAGACAAATTGTATTCGTATTTTGTATTGCGCATCATTGCAGCTAGAAGGTAGAGCACGGGGAAGCAGTATACTCGTGCTAAGGGAAGTTTAACTTTGGTCCGTGCCGGAAAAAGCATTCACGAGGTAATCAACTCCCGTGATATTCACGAATTAACATCCTCCAGTTCGTTTGACAATGATGCCGGCAATAAAAATCAATGAAGTAATCGATATTCATTGTATCCAATTTATTGTTTCAATTATCATGCATCCCACGCGGATGTTTGCTAGGATGCAATTAAATGAATCAGTCACAGAGAACACCATTGGAGCAGGTGGACTTGCAGCAAGAGCACGGAGCCCCATCACCGTACACTGTCATCCCAATGTAGTTTCCAGCCGGCCCGTAGTTGCACACGTAGAGTTGGTAACCTCCTTTGTAGGCAACGTAGCCGCATCCCACGGCGTACGTGTCTGCCCACACCACCTGTGTGTAGTGTCCCGTGTCCATGGTAAACCTGCAAGATAAAGTCATTTGTAGTTATAACCCACAGTTGTGTCACACTGGTCCACACAATGCACACAACCCATTCGGCAATACAAAGTCGGGTCATCGTTTAGCGAGGGTTCATTTTTCAACGTAGCAATGTTGCTACAGCGGTGTGTAAAATGTGGATTCGATTTTACTGCAATGTTGAAATGAAATAGTTCAGTGCTACAAACACTCTCACATGTCACACTCGTCACGTTTTGCCGGCGTTGAAACCTTTAATTCACCTCTAATTGGGTATTACACGACTTAGGCAGGGGTGCTGAAAAAAGGTGGCAAGCATTTCAACACCTTGTAACTGTCAAATGTCGATAGCATATCCAACGTTCTTTTTTTTTGCTCCATGCATGAAACTGTTATTCTCCCGCAGAAAACGGAAGCGCGCATTTTTTAAATCACCCTATATATTATGGCATCGGTAGGATTTTTATACAAGGGCTGGTAATGTCTGTCTGGAACTCTACAAGATTTTCCCTACCATTCTGATTGGATGAGGCGAAGCCGATAGCTGCTCCTTGACTGATCAAGTGTCTCGCTGAGAGACCAATACCAAAAAATAGCTCCAAAATCAATCTAATCGTTTGAATTGAATCCATACCTTTGATGACCCGATAACTATCAATACATCTCATCTACGTCAAGACGATGACGGAAACCATTTTAATTTTGCGGGTTTCTTGAGTTTTTACATTTTTAACAAAGTTGAGAGGATCATTTCAAGGGGAACGTACTTGAAAGGTGATATGGAGAATTTCGAAAAGAGGGCGACCTCGTCATACCAGGCCTTTACGGCAGCAGTCCAATTTGGCTTCGACCCGCTGCTCCCCCAACTCATATAGAGGTTTTGACCCGCAGACAGGAACGAAACTGGCAAGAATGATAATAAAAAAACATATCAAATGCAATGTTAGAATGAAGCGGTGACGCTTCGAGAAGAAAACATACTGCCGTAGGTTCGGCAATTTGCGCTGTCGTGGTTGAAGTTGCACGTGTTGGCTAGGCCTTGCGCCGTTACCGCGAGCTTGTCGTCCCATACCTGGTATCAGAAAGGAAAGTCTCTGAATGGAATCTAAAGGTTTCGGGTTGAGGTTTTTCGGGAGAGACTTATTTAGAGGCTGTATCATCGCCAGACATTGAATGAAAATATCAGTATCGAACCTCATTGTAATGCGGGAGTGCTTGTAATGTGAGCATATTGTACGAGGGTTGTTCAATAAGTTTTGCAATTGATACATTGATACTTTTCCAATGGCTGTGTTTTTAATCCTGTAAATTCCCTGAAGGTTGTAAACCAAACATGAAAAAAGTTTTGCTTCATATAAGCAAATTGAAGAGGAATTCCCTTAGATTGGCTTGCTGGAAAAGGAATATCATCAGCTTTATTGTTGTTTTGGGAAGAGAAAATCTCCAAGTCATAATCTTGTACCATCTCACACAAGGTTTATATGCCAATAACTACCACGATGAGATGAAAGCGGTGCTAGAAGACTGTGATCGTGCTTATAGCATGCTCATTCAATGCTGCCATATTTTTCGGATGGGGATGGTGGGTTTCAAAGACCATCCTAAATCAGGAAAAATAGTGGTAGCATCATAGGAAGAGAAAGTTGAAGCAGTGATGTCACAAATGAGAGATGAACCTCATATCACATTTCAGCGGATGGACCAGGAAGTGCATCAGCAGCACTGATTAAAATTCTTCATCAAAATGTTCAGATCTAGAGGATATTTTGTCATTGCATTCCTCCTCACCTGAATAGTGACTGAGGAGAAAACCACATTGAACTTTGCTACTTTAAGTTGAAGAATTTAAATGAAGGGAGATGAAAGCACCTAAATGGCATAATCACATGTGAATAAGTCTGGTTCTACCATCATGACCCTCCCACTAACAGGCAAAGCATGATGTAGGTATTTTAAGATGAGTAACCACTTGTGCAATTGATTAGTCCTTGAGGTGTCTGAAAGAGCATGCATGGTTTTCTCATCTCAGTACACATTTTAAAGTTGGCCAGTCATGATAAGTGGCATGACGTTACTTTAGGCTAGTGTGCAGATGTTTGCATGCTTAAAGTGTTTGCAGCTTAGAGAGAAAAGGACCAAATATAAAATTTCAAGAAACCCTCTTCACCAATGAATAATCCCGCAAATTGAACGAACTGAAAAAAAGTTTTTGGAAAAATCTGTAGTTAAGACGCTGTCACCTCTCCATAACTTCTTCAGAGTTAGCTCCATATGAATTCTGGCTCCTCAAAAAAGGTAAATAGCCACTGAAGGGAAGAAAACTTAAGTCCAGAGAGAAGTCTTAAGGTACAGTGAACCAGGTGTTAACCTCATCTACCACAAAATACTTAAAAACTAGCTTTGAAAGCTTCTTTAGCAGACTGGAACTAGGTATATCCGCTGATGGAAGGTATTTCATGAAATGATAAAAGATTCGAATAAATTGAGTTTCTGGAAGTATTACATTTGGAAAACTTTTGGAACAACCCTAGTGTATCTAATGAGAAAATTATCATAGTTCATAAAACCGTGAAAGTCTTTATATAAAAAGTAATTTGATCGCACCATTAAAGCTCCTATCCGAGTAAAGAGCGCGAACGTATACCATTCGTCGCATGTTGGAGGCTTTGGGCTGAGGTCCAGGATTTCCCCGTGTTTCCTGGCCAGATGCAACTCGTGCCCTCCAGCTGTTGTGAGCACTCACGATCAGTTGTTTATCTGACGCGGACACGCCGTAGCTCGTTACGGTGCCGCAATTAGGACTTGGTGACGAGGAATAGCAATTCTTAGTCCCATGTGATCCCCAGGCGGGAGGTGGGCTTGGGCAAATTCCCCGATTTTCCTTGAATGAAAAAAAACTAAACAAATGAGGTTAGCCCTCGGGTGGGAGGAATGATGGTCCGGTTCCCCCCCCCCCTCCACCAGGGAAAGCAGGAACTAAGTGAGCACATTTGAAAGGGTGAACGCGAATCAAAAAGGTATTCCCAAGAAAACAAAGATTTTGATTGAGAAGAAAAGTTGTGGAAGTACTTTAAAATAAACATGAGATATTTAAAAGATAACAAGAGAGCAGGAGGAAAGACTATATAGGAAAGTTGAGATGGAAAGATCATTGGAACTGGAAAAATGGGAAAATTGGAAAAATGCATAATCACTATACTTAAATTTACCTGATTCATCGGTCATTCGGTTAGGTGTGTTAGTCACTTTAAACCCTTCTAACCTTGCTTAGCTAGCGTGAGAGATGTTATTTGGGGTTGCAATATTATTTGAGGTTAGAAAATGTTCTCCTGTATAACCAGGATTATAGAGTCGTGAGATTTTCACGCTTTCCAACCTATGACTGTTTACATCCATGGAATGCAGAAAGACAGACCAGGGCGGGGAGGGCATCTCCTAACGTGGCCACCATCACCACCAATGCCAGGAACTGGGTTAAAGGAAAAAGATCACTCGTGAGGTGTGTCAAATTTTAGGCATGAAATACAATGAAGATGACTCCTCGATGAGGCCAAAACTGTGAGGGAATAAATGAGTGGGACTCACCAAGCTGAAGAATTCCATTTTTATGTTTGAAGACAGCAGACTGGATCACTGAGAGTGGTGAGAATGATGCGTGGACCAGTACACCGGACCTTCATTTATATGTGGTTGAGCGTGGCCCGCCACGTCACTAGATTCATGGAGGGAAAAGTCACACGAGGATATCAGCGATATCTGCATTAACTAGACAAGTGTGCCAACTGTGCAGAACCCGGATTCATGGATCTGGGTTTTTTGCCACAACCCGGATTCTCACATCCATCAAGATCGATGCCAACTGCACGCGTGCATATCAAATAATAAGGGTGAGTGTGGAGTGGTCAGTTATTTGTGGTTGAGCGCAGCCCGCCGCGTGTCTAGAGTCATGGGAGGAAAACTGAAGCGAGGAGAATAGCTACATCTGCATTAACTGCACATGTGTGCCACGTGTTAACTGCTCAAATGTGCCAAGTGTATAGAACCTGGGCAGGTTGGGTCTGGGTTTTGGCCACAACCCGGATACTCAGGTCTCTCAGGATAGATGCCAACTGCAGGCATGGAAAATCGAATTTGGATTGCTGAAATAAATAACTTGCCTTCATTTCCATGTAAAAACTGATATTTTGTTGTTTCGTCAAAGCTGGAGCAAAGTATTGGATGTTCCTTGGAATTCAAAGGAAGTTTACTAATAACAAGATTCAATTAAATTTTGCAGATTCAATTAAGGAATTGGGCCCTAAAGTGCTGCATATTTGTCTGACATGTATTCATGTGGGGTGTCAGTGACAGAGGTGAGCGGACGCCAGTATAACCTGTCCCATAAGCCATCTAGCTGCCAATTCAAGTCAGGAACTCTGCAAATGTAACACGGAAGCCAGAATTCGCGTTCCTTTT